TCTACAGGCATACTCTGATGCAGATTGGGCAGGCTGCCCAGACACTAGACGCTCTACTTCTGGCTACTATGTTTTCCTTGGTGATAATCTTGTCTCCTGGTCCTCCAAGCGGCAAGCCACCACCTCTCGATCCAGCGCCGAGGCCGAGTACCGCGCCGTCGCCAATGCCGTTGCCGAGGCCAGTTGGATTCGGAACCTTCTCCTTGAGCTCAGACATCCCCTGCAGCGAGCCACCCTCATATTCTGCGACAATGTTAGTGCCGTTTATTTATCCACCAATCCAGTCCAGCACCAGCGCACTAAACATGTCGAGGTTGATATTCACTTTGTTCGCGACAAGGTCGCATTGGGACATATTCGAGTTCTTCATGTTCCCTCCTCCTCCTAGTATGCTGACATATTCACTAAAGGACTTCCCTCGGTTCTCTTCCTGGATTTTCGCACAAGCCTGGGAATTCGTCCCCCACCGCAGCCGACGTAGCCGGGAGCATGTTAAATATATTTAATATATATTTATGTTAAGTATATTTAATGTATTTATTATTATATCATTGTATTATTGGTAGTTACCTTTTGTATAGGTTTCCTTAATTATACTCCTACCATGATTAGGAGTCCCATCTTGTATATAAATATGGTTGTACTCCTACACAATTAATCAATTGAAAATATTCATTCTTCATTGAGGTTACCACTTTGTTGATATTTTTCATATGCAATTTAGAAGCATTGGGATGACATTTTAACTTTGCATTATCATATTCCCTATGGTATTTTCATCATCTCCGATGGAGCCAAACATTCACTATTTTTTTGCTTTGGGCATGATGGAATAAAGCAAAATGGCTCTTTAAACTGCATGCGCTTCTTTTTCAATAGTGAAGTAGCAGTTAGTCAATGCAATTTTCGACGCTCATCATTGGTCATCCAGAAACTGCTGCTCTATGTTTTAAACTTGTCGGACTGCATACATCCCACCCCCTTACCCCGCAACGGGCGGGAGCATTTGATGCACTGGGGTAATGTTGTTGTATCATATTCCCTGTGGTTATAAAGATCATATAGAGTTTATATATCAGTCATGTATCATCAAATGCTCTTGTAATTTCAGAAAATAACAACTGAGGCGGTTGTCTTCCTATGTTGTACACAGGATACGGTATCTTCTTATTGCAAGAATGCTACGATTGATAAGGCTCTTGTTGCTAGTTCGGAGTTATCGTGCCTTCATTGCAACATTTTTGACTCTCATACCAAGTATTATGCCGTACTTGGGGACAGTATTCTGTATTTTATGCATTTATTGCTCGCTTGGTTCACAGGTATATTTCTTTCAAGCCCCATGGACTATAACTGATAACTCTTAAAAAGATTCCAACATATTCTTCTGTTGAAACAAGATATGTTCTTATATATTAGCTTCTGTGCAGATCTTTGGAGGAAGTGTGAATTCTGGGAATCCCAAATTGAATGAAACTGATCTTGCTGATAATGAGTATCCTTTTTGTCAGTCAATCATAAAGTCTTTAGTTATAAATGATGTTCTATTTCATACTGTTTGTGTTGACTATATTTCTGCACACACTGCTTGCTTTTTTGTTCATTCATGCTCAAGAGTCAAGATCTTTTTTGTTTTACTTGACACAGAAAGCTATTTGCTTTTTAACTTCAATGATTACCCAAATGGAATGGTGACTCTTTTCAACTTATTGGTGATGGGAAATTGGCACTTTTGGATGCAGGTATCAACGGTGTGCGGGCATACACACGCACACATGTAGTGTTGGGTTCTAGTAAAAACTACTCTTTTAGTGAAACTTAACTAATATGAAATGTTCATCTTACAAATTTTGTGGCATTTTGTGTTGGTGCACCAAACATAGAGTGCCTCTGCGTGAGTACCTAGTAACATCACATACACCCAAAACCGCAGAGGTCGCCCAAATCATTGTTATCAAGTCGTTTTCTGGCTGGCGACTTGCATCTCAACTAGCGACTTGGGTGGACTAGTTGTCCGGGCGATCAAAGCGACGACTAGTCACGCTCAAGCGACGACTTGTCGCGGATGGAAACCTACCCAATTTGACCCAACCCGACCCAAATACTCCATAAAACATCGCCTCCATCGGTCCAAAGCACAATCGCAGTTGACTTTAACCCTTCTCAAATCCCGAGGTCTCTTTCATCGCCATCTTCCACAATGGATGAAAATTGTCATGGTGGCATAACATTGGATGATGATATTTGATAACTCAAAACATGGAATTAAATATTTTAATATGTTCTTTGACTTCTTTTTGTGCTTATTATCTTTGGTGATGTGTTGTTTTTGAAGATTGAAGGATATTTGTTTCTTATGTACCCTTCATTATGTAACTTTATGTGCTACCTTTAAACATAATTTTGTTTTGGTAATGATATATTGTGATATAATTATATGTAGTTATCTTGGGTCAATGAAGATTTATATAATGTTGAAAATTTCAATACTAATTGTGATTTGCCGACTAGTCTCCTCTTCACCGACTCGGCTTGTCGACTTAACAACCATGGCCCAAACCATGTGTGAAGCAATTGAATAGCACAATCGACCAATGTGCCCTATCAATGCAATATTTTGCAGTGTATAGCTCCAAGTTTTGCAATGCAAAATTTGCCATGTAAATTCAAGCTGCATTTTTTAAACCAAAATTTTGCATGATTCGTTTGAGATGTCCACACACTTGGCTTGCCCAAAACTTGCATGGTTATTGCAGAAAAAGCAGTGTAGATACGGTTGCCGGTTGACATCTCAGTCGAGTCGATCTTATTCGTTCTTATTAGGGGAAACCGTGGGTTTAAAATATTTCTTAGTTTTCATGGGAAGAAAAGTTTGTATTTGAACCAAAATCTGTTCTCTCTCTCTCTCTCTGTGTGTGTGTGTGCGCGTGTGTGCGTGCAACCAATCTTCCTTTCAAACTCCTACTTTTTAATGGTACATTAATTATGATGTTCACACAAATTCCGGTTGTGTTTTTAAATATTTTGGATATCATCAATGATTTTAATACAAGTTTTACTTCCACAGAGTTACAAGGATTTGACAGGGAGTTGGTGGAGCTGCGCCTACTTTATCAGCTTCTATGTTATATCTGTACTATGGCTACTAAATTTGGTAACTCCTCATCATCCATGAAAGTTGCAGGACGATCTTACTAGATTACACCTGACAGAAAAAATCTATTCCAGTAAGAAAAATCAGATGATTCAAAAGGAACTGTGTTGCTTGTTTTCAGATTGTCGCATTTGTGTTGGAGGTTTTCCAAGCGGAGATGGAGCTGGAGACTTCAGCAATGTCTGAGGAGGCAGATGCTGCAAAGGTTGTTAACAACCCCTTAGCTTTGCTTCATTCATTTATTTCTCGTGCGTTAGAGTATGATAAGAAGATTATCATGACTTGCATTCCATTAATTCTCTTCACCTTGCATTTGTTGCTCATCATGCTCATCGAATTCCAGGACGAACCAGTAAAGCACCGGCCACGCACTATTGGGTATGTCTCTCTCATCTCACCTACTACCCTACACCCAAATCTCCAAGCGTTCACACCACAAATAATCTTACTTGAAATGCAATTGGACAGAAACACTACAATGTACCAAAATTGGCCAAAACATATACTTTTTGCTTCTCCAAATGCCCATTTGAGAAAGCATTTATTTTATGCCGGCTATAATAATGGTTTCTAATAAATGAGTGGTTATTATTATTATTACTCGTATTATTATTATTATTATTATTATTATTGTTGAATGTCATGTTGTTAAATGCAGTGCAAAAACACGAAGCCAGCGAGTGGATGCATTACTCCATCATATGCTGAGCTCTGAGCTACCACCACAGAGCTCCAGCCCCCCATAGTTCTCTTCTCTCCATTACTGTGCTACTGCTGCATTTGTCCAGGCCAGTAAGTAATCAACAATCACAGCTCACAAAACTTTCTGTTGAGATTCTCAATGTCTGCTTCTTCCAAGACAATGGTTTCCTGTTCCAACATTTTGGTTGTTTCAGGAACGGCGAAGAAACCGACAAGAGATAAAATTCCATTGCCCAAATGACTTAGGAGCCTGTATTATGTGCAGTGCACATGCAAAAATAGTTCACCCTTCTGTCTCTCGCATATACAAATGTAGGTGTACCTTAGTGAGATGGAGTCATATACTCCCTCCGTCCTATAAAACATGAGATGTTTTGTTTTTTGAAGAGATCTAAAGGAGTGTATTTTGGTATTGAATTTTCAAAAATGCCCTTTGATGTGATGGGTAAAAGTAGGATTTAATAGGTAGATTATTAGTAAAAAGGTATGATGTGATAGGTAGGATATGAAAAAGTAAGGGGTAAAAGTGACTTTTTAATAGAAATAAGAAGTGTTTTTTGGGACGGATGAAAAAAGAAATGAAAAAGGTTTTCCGGGACGGAGGGAGTAATTCTGATCAAATTTTATTCAAATTCTTAACCAAGGATTTGATGGATAATTTTCCACACAAAGCAAGTGATTACTGATATTAACGTGCTTGACAAAATCCTTAGTTTGAGTATTTATATTTGTAGTGAGGTTGATGAGAATATTTTAAATCTTTCCAATTTCATTTGTGAAAATTCTAAAAAAAAACTTCACTTGTTAAATAGAAATAATAGACAAAATTAGTGGGATGGAAGGAGCACATTGGTCTTGATTTGTTCTAATTTCCATCAAGTGATGTGTGTGCTTCTTTTAAACAGGTGACATAGCCACTTTTTTAGAACAAATAATTTACATATATAAGTAAATAAAAAAAATATAATTTGTTGGTATAAATAGTGAATTGGAATTTGAAACTAAGGTTTACAGAAAATGGAGTATCATTGAACCATCACGGGAAAATGTAATTTGATGTATAATAAATGGAAAATCTAGGGATGTTCTAAGGTGGTGTACTCCAAGTGTACATTTTCTTGACAGACACAACAAACAGTGAGTGGTGTGTCTGAAAAGGTTGTGCACACTTAGTTACATAGCAAATCCCATAATAAATACTCCAAAAGTCCAATTTTTGCGGAATTGCGCCCATTGTTGGAAGGAAGGAACATTGGCGGGCTTGGTCAATGTTATTCAATTCTTTTTTTCCCGAGAAACAATAATAAATCCAAAAATGCTAGAAATTTGCTAGATTTGGCACTAAAAGTTTGAAATTTTTTGCATACATGCAGTGATAATTCACCACAGGTAATTACTATTTGTGAAATATTTGGTGTTAATGCATGTGGGTTTTAACGCGACTATAATTAATTAATTAGCGAGAATAAGGGTAGCCCGAAAAATGAAAAAATAAAATTTGTCTAATTCAAAATTTATATTTTTGATCCTATTTTATTGTTTTAGAATATCTATGTTTTAAAATTAATGCCAAATTTAAAAATAAGTGAACCTAAAATTTCAGAGGCTTTGTGTAATTGACCACTTTACACACCTTCCGAACCATTCATGATGAGAATAATTTTCCTTCTAGTTTTTTTCTTTTTATTCCCTTTCCTCCCACTTCCACTCTAACAAACATAGGCTAAATGTATAACATTCAAATCTAAAGAGCAAAAACAATTAAAGAAACTCAAAATAAGCTTAACCTAAATAGAGATGAACCTTCTCACATCACCAAAATTTATAATAAATGAAATAAATGTTCATTCGTAACACTTTATAAAATGTTCATATGCCTATATATAAACATGTCCCTTAAATTTTCAAGTGGACACAAATTTCAATCAGATTTCGCCCAATTGCGTACATTTTATTTAAAAACGTGACATGTGAAACCCGAAGAAAATTACTTGGCCAAATTGAAAGAGCTTATTGAATTGAATTGATGGCGACGATATATAAAAGTCTTCTTCAGCCTCTGGCGCAATGGGTGATGGCGGAGCAGCCGCGGCGGTAGGGGTTGGCCTGCTGGTGCGAGAGGCAGTTGTAGTACGAGTTGCCGCGTCTCCGGCACGGGATGGTGTCGGCGGCCAAGGCGGCGTAGCTTATGTACCGCGTCTGGGCCAGAACCCGCCGGCTCATCTCCGATTCCATCGACATCTCCTCCCCCTCCCCGCCGCAGTCTCCGACCAGATCTCCTCCTCCGCCGCCGCATCTCGCTCTCGCACGGCGGGTCAGTAGCGCCGCGTGGCGGTCCACCGGCACCGCCGACGATTCCGCGGCTGGAATCATCGCCGCCGATGATAATGTCAGGACCACAATCATTGACAGCCGGAGATCCATGGCAGCGCAGTAATGATGGTTAATTAATTAATCAATTAATTAATTGATAATGATAATGGAGAAATAATTAATTCAGAAGAAGGGGTAATTAAAAAATGACTGTATTTTCTGGCCACTCTGTTTAATAAGAACGTGTGGTTTGGCTCTTATTGTGGGGCGAGATGCGGTTTTTGCTCCTTAAATTTCTATCATTTAGGGGCGGTTTGTTTCAGCCTCTTAATGGTTCAGATATCTGAATGGTTCAACACTTAATGGTTCAGATTATTTGTTTCAGTCTCTTAATGGTTCAGAAGTCTGAATGATTAAGAGATTTGCCTCTGAATGATTAAGTATTATACAGAATCTGAATGGTTAATACCACTTATCTGAATTGATCAGACATTTGTCTCTGAATAGTTAAGCAATATACTAGCTCTTAATGGTTCAGATCTCTTACTGGTTCAGTACTTAATGTTCAGACCTCTTACTGATTCAGCACTTACTCATTCAGAAGTTGCCAAACAGCCCCTTAGGTTTGGATCAAAATCATTTTCTTTACATGCAAAAGAAAAAGAATGGCAGGAAAAAAAATAATCTTTCTTTTTCTAATCTTTACCTAATTTTCATCAAACCAAACAGAGTAAACATTTGGACAGTTCGGAGTATTTGGCATACATAAAAAAAATGTGCAGCTTTGTTTGATTTCTTTATTATTATTATTAACCTTAGCATTTAAAAAAAGTTAAAAGTATGGATTAATTTTGAAAATGTTGAAATTACATTTCAACCTTATCACTAAATCGATAAGTTTTTCAAGACGTGAACACTAAATGCTCCAAACACATCCTATGTATCTCAAGTATGCATTTTTCTAATATAATAATTTGATGTAAACTTTTTCTAATACAGAGTATAATAATTGAGGTGTGTTAGGGAGTATCTTAAGTTTTCACAGTCCCACAGACATCAACTATATGTATTTTACACAGACAACTGCTATCTACATGTGTTTGAGAAGTTTGTCGTACAAGTGAGATACATATTACTCCATTCCTCTTAAAATTTTCTTCTCGGTTCGCAAAACGAAGAAAAATCCTAAATTTTTTCAATCTATTTTATTTAAATATTGGTATAGAAATAAAAATTAAAACATACATATTTAAAAACTACATCAAAAGTTCAACAAAACAAGTGGTGACAAGAATATTTTATTTTATCATATAGGCCATGAAAAAACACAAAAATTCCCGTGAAGTTGGAATAGTGCTATGAGAAGAAAGTTTTAGGACGGAGGGAGTAGTATTTTCCAAATTAATTTGATGTAAACTCCCATGCATGGTGTTATATTTTCTAGTCTTCGGGTCCTACATGTCATTATGCCTACCTAGCTTGCAAAAACTCATCCTCCATATTTATGATTATTTAAATTAAAATAAACCTAGAGTCACCCCAAATAGTGTAATTCAACTATACATCACTCTTCTCGTAGAGACACACGCCATTTGTGTGAAATATAGACAATGAATATGTGTGTGTCAGTGAGAAGGATAGTATACAGATGTGATACATCACCTGAGGTACCGCTAGCAAATCTATTAAACTAAACGGTTACGTGTTCACAATATAATGTCATATGGAGCACGTACTTCTTAGTAGACCTGGCAAAAAATGATCTGAACTGTTTTTTACCCGAAACCGACCTGAAAACACTGGGTTTTGATGACCGAACCCGAAATGACCCACTAAAAATGGGTCAAACCCGATCGAACCCGAACCTGACCTGCTAAAGTAAGAATTTTTCAAAATCATACACTTTACTACTCGTTTTTAGTGTATAAATTTATATTTTCAGATAAAATTTTAATGATATTGCATAATTATCTTACTTTTCTCCAAAACCTAAGCATTTTTAAATTTATTATATTGATTTGTATATCTAAAATTACTTCAAAATTTAAAATAAAATAATTTTATAGATTTAATACATTTTTTTTATATTTCAAATTGATTTCATAGAAAATGTAAGTGTAATGTGAATATAAAAATACAAAAAACTAAAGTCATAATCCATTGACTCGACCCGAACCCGATGACATTGGGTCATGAACATATAGTTCTCAACCCGAACCCGAAATAACCCGAACTTGAAGTGACCGAACTCGAACCCGACCTGACCGACCGATTTGCCAGCTCTACTTCTTGGGGCATGTTCTTTAGGATCGGAAAAAAAGACCTTGTCCCTACTCGAAAGTAGAGAGACTGTATCCAAAGAGACCCCTGGCTCATTGATTGACTAACTCCTACTTCATTAATTAAAGAAGCACATACAGTTTAGAGATCCATTTTGATTTATTTCATCACACCCAAAGCCAAAAAATGGTGAAATTTTGGCTCCATCGGAGATGATGAAAATCAGGAAGAAATTGGAAAAACTGAAAAAAAATTAAAAGAAACTGAAAAAACTAGAAAAAATTGAAAAATCTTTTAAAACTTTTTTAAAAAGTTTATGTTTGGTTTTATATTATTCTCATTCTGATTCTTGTTATTATAAATTATTATTATTATTATTCTTGTTGTTGTTGGTGGTGGTGGTAGTAGTGGTGGTGTTATCACGTTATCTATGATTGTCTATAAGATAAAAAATATTACGAGTATTATTTTTCATATATAAAAAGCTAGTTTAAAAAAATAATTAGAATATAAAATTAGCATAAATATTACACTTCTTGAGTCATTTTTTCTTTTTCAAAATGTAGTTTTCTCTTGGTTTTCATAATATTATTCTTTCAGACCCTTAAATGTAATTTACCTTATATAAATTTAGATTAAAAAATATTCTATATAACTATTTATCCATAATTTTTTAAATAGTTTCCTAATTTTTCATGTAGATTAATATACAAAAAATGGTATTATTCATATTAAAAAGTTGAAAAAACTCGAAGAATGAATGTGAATCATAAAAATAGTGAGATGAAAAAATGAAATAATTTATAAACTATAGTTATGAACGTAAAAGTTGTAATTAAAAAAATTGTAATAATAATATATTTTTTTAGAGTGATTTGTCAGAAAGTTGAAAGAATTTGAAGAAAATAATATACTTGGAATAAATTAGAATAAACTGGAAAAAACTGGAAGAAACTGGAAAAAATTCAAAGAACTGGAAATAACTGGAAGGAACTGGAAGTTAAGAGTTTAAGCTCTAAAGAACAGACTCTTAGTTTCTCCGTTTCAAAAAACATATACTCCCTCCGTCCACAAATAAACTTTACGTTCATTATTCACAGGGTCAAAGCTTATTCACTTTGTTGGTCTATTTTCGTCACCCATTTGATAAAATAATATAATCACATCACCTCTAGTTTTGTAGATCTTTTGATATAGATTTTTAATATGTAATTTTTATTTTTCAATTCTACACTATTTTTCATAAAAAATGATTTGAAAATAATTTCAGTCAAACATCGTAACGCGCAACATAAAGTTTATTTGTGGACGGAGGGAGTACAATATTTGGTTAAATCAATTATCAATTTAATTAAGTATATGATAAAACTTATATAAATTCCTTTTACAAAAGTTGTGACAACACTTTGAAAATGTATGGAGGAAGACAACAATTAACATAATAACATATATATATATATATATATATATATATATATATATATATATATATATATATTGAGTGTTACTTCAAAGTCCCACATCGGTGGGATAGGAAAATTTAGGAGGGATTGGAGCCTATAAATAAAGAGGAGATATAGGCTTCCATCACACAACACAATCTTTCAATCTATATAATTGTGTATTAGATTTTAGATTATGAGTGTCAAATATTGGAGAGGGTTTGTAATTTTTCCGTGCAAAAATTACTAGTGAGATTTTATCTCAGAGGGGGTCGTGGAGTAGGTCTTGAGGTGCCGAACCACGTTAAAAATTTGTGTGTTCTCTTTTATTTTCTTTCCATTTATTTGCAGTGGGGGCCAACCAAGTGGTATCAAAGCTCAGAAAATGAGTGTGTGTAATTTGGATCTTCTCAGAAAATGAGTCTGGAGGGATGACCACTCTGCCCATGACCTGAGTCGGCCCTGGCATTCATAGGCCTGCTCGTCACTTATCCTTATTTATAAATGAGTAATTTTTCTAAATAGGACTAAAACATAATGACTTTTCCAATATAGGACTATATATTTTATTTCTCAATGTAGGACTTTTGGTCATTATCTACTTAGTCATTATTCAAGTAAATGTCTATCATTACTGGACATTATTCCTCCCACAAGGTCATTATTAAGTCATATTTAAGGAATAAAAAAATTTATATCCTACATTAAAAAAGTCATTATGTTTTAGTTCTATTTAGTGCAAATTTCACTTTATAAATAGCTCTCATGATATACCCCGTAGTAAATAGTAATAGCCAATATTCCCCCGTCCCAAATTATTTGTCACACTTCTTTTATTGAGGTAAAATATTAAGTTTTTTCAATTCATTTTATTTACATATTGGTAAAGAAATAAAAAATAAAAATTACATATCAAAAAACTACATGAAAAGTTTTTCGAAATAAGAGGTGTCAAGAATATTTTATTTTATCAAATAACCAATAAAAACGTAGAAATAAACAAAAGTTCCCGCGAAATGTGGCAAATAATTTGGGACGGATGGAGTAAATGAAATTGTATTTCCAATGTACATAATTATTACTTTCGATGTCCCTTTTTTTATCTTTCTATTTTTCTCTTCTAAAAATGTTTCTAACTTTCTTATTTTCATTTTAAAGGAGAAATTCAATGGTTTGCATTTATTCTTCTTGAACTTAATATAAATACAAAACCACAAAGACTATTTAAGGACGAGAGTTGTTGATGATTAAACACACAACACACACAAATAATCTGCGAGAAACGAGAGAAACGGAACACAAACGACACACAAGAATTTAACGTGGTTCGGTTTCCCTAATCCACGGCTGCAACGGGAGGATTTTCTTA